GAGCCACCATGCCCAGCTTGAATTTCAATTTATCAGAAGAAAAGCAGAAATCCAGTGTGTCTGGAGCCCCAGTTTTCCTGTGGGGATGCTCAGGACGAGTTAGGGTCTTGTTCGCCCTAGCATGAAGAGCAAGGAGACCCCAGGCACAGTCTCTTTTCCTGTGTGTTTCGTCTTCCGTGGGGCCACTGCGTCGCCCCGCTGGGTCTGTCCCCGGGCTGCAGTTTGCTCTTCACCTAGCCCCTTAGAAAGCCAGGGTAACTGCAGGGGTCATGGGAGGCGCAGTTCTGTCTTCCATGCCTGTCTCGAGGTCCAAGTGAATGAAAATCCACAAATCACAGTCCCGGGCACAGAGTTAACGCTCAATAAGCGTAAGTCAGAGCTGTTGCGACGGTGGTACTCGATGGAGGCCCCTTATGAACCTGGCTTCTGTTCTCTCCGCCGTCCGAGCTGGGAAATAAGACGCTGGGAAGAAAGCTGGAGGTCGCTTCCAGCCCGGAGATCTGTGCCCCGGCTTTGGCTTCGGGAGGCGAACTCAGGGGCCCGCGGGCCTGCAGCCGCGGGTGGAGTTCGGTGTCCTGAGGTTGTTGGAACAAATTAGCACACGCTAGGAGCTTACCTCACCCACCTTCATTCTCTCTCACTTTCTGGAGGCCGCAGGGCTGTGGGGCACAACGCCCCCCACCTTCTGCCTGGCGTGTGGCTGTCGCTGGGATCCCTGCCTGTCTGTGGACTTCTCCAGGTGGCTCTGCGTTTCGCCGTCTTCTGCCTTTCTCACAGGCGTGTGGTGCCCAAATGTGGTCCCTGCACACCAGAAGGGAGGCTGAGGCAGGGGGATCGCAAGTCACAGCCCAGCCAGGGCAATGTAGTGACTTAGTGAGACCCTGTCTCAAAATTGAACAGAGACGGTAGTGGAGATGAAGCTCAGTGCAAAGGACTCAGGTTCAATCCCCAGTGCAGACACAAAATAAAAACCCAGTAGTCTGTCTCCTGCTCAGGAGACCGGGTCAGTGGCCCAGGAAGGGCTGGGTCCCCATTTCCCAAGGGTGCCTCCTCATTTCGCTCTCCCAATGGGGAAGGGGTGCCAGCATCAGGATACAGCTAGGGAGGAAGCAGGCGAAGGGCCCGTCCTTGCGGAGCTGAAGTCCTGCTAAAAGCAGACAATGCAGAAGAGGGAAAGTGCTCAGGAGGCTGAGGCAGGAGGATCACCATGAGTTCGAGGTCAGCCTGGGGGGCTACATAGTGAGAGGCCCTGTGTCAAACACAAAACAACAATGAAAACGAGTGGAGGAAGACAAGAGGAAGGGAATAAAAGAGAATCAAGATGTCATGTGCATGTCCCACTTCCCCAAGAGGAATTGCGATCATTCTGTTCGGCAAACGTGAACTAATAAAAATAACGCACAAAAAGAGGCAAGAAATAGTGTCCTTGCCGGGTCCAGTGGGGCACACCTGTCGTGCCAGCTACCTGGGGGATGCGGCGTTCACTGCCAGCTTGGGCAACTTTGTGAGATGCTGTCTCAGGATGGAAGAAGGCCCGGGGACATAGCTCAGGGGAGGAGCACTTGTCCAGCTGTGTGCAAGGCCCTGGCTTCCATCCCCCATACCATGAATAAATAAGGGAGTATTACACTAAAAAGTTCAACGTGATACGTATCCACGTGCAACACAGTGTTAAGTGTGATGGAGGAAAGGCAGGCAGGGAACGCTGAGGGGTGCGATGTGTGTGTGTGTGTGTGTGTGTGTGCTCGTGTGCGCGCAGAGATGCTTTAAACAGCTGTCATGGTCCCCGGGGGACATTGGGTGCCCGATGGAAGGGAGGGGACAGAGAGGCGGCTGTCGGGAGGACAGGCTCCTAGAGATAAGAGGAGGCCACAGTGCCCAGGTCCTCCTGGCTGGGCCTGGGGCGGGTGGGGAGGGAGGAGATCTGAGAGGCAGAGGATGGAGGGGACATCAGGAGGTGCTGTCGGCCCTGGCTGTGGTGGCTCCGACTTCCAGACCTTGGTTGACATAGTTAAGCAGGTGCCAGTTGCAGGCCCAGACAGAAGCCTGGGGAGGAAACACCCCGAATACACGTTTTATGTTAAAATATTCCGTCACCCAAGAGTGGTGGTGCATGCCTATGTGTAATCCCAGCACTCAGGAGGCTGACACAGGAGGATCACCATGAGTTCGAGGCCAGCCCGACCTACGTAGGGAGACCCTGTCTCCAAATTTTTGTTTTTCTTTTCAAAAGCTAACTCAGGCCTTAAAATAAAAATTCAGAAACAAGTGCATTTTATCTAGCAATTCTGAGAATTGAAAGCAGGCGATCATACGAGTGCTGTTCTAAGGGCTGGGTTCAATCCCCAGCACCACCAATAATAATAATAACAATTTTGAAAATAACACGAATAACATCTCGGAGCTTCTAATCAGCTCCTGAAGTTGCACAACACTTGGGGGAGAGGATAACAGGAAATGCAGCCTTGCTACAGAGGAGGAAAGGAAATTATCATTTCCCCGCTTGTCTTCCACACTGTTTACATAAAAATATTCTGCCCTCTGAGATGTTTTGACTTTGGGAACCCTCCCCCTGACTGCCGGAAACCCTCAGGGTGAACATCTTGATGCTTTGTTTCTATGCAGCCACTGAGACTCCGCATAGATAAGCAAATTTTTAATTAAAGACGGCAGAGCAAGGCAGAGAATCTCACTTTTTGTACTTCTAGGCTCACCATCAAGCCCGGGACTCCTGCTCTTCAGTTTTCTCCAGTGTAGAGAGCAGGGCCCGGGGAAGCTCTCAGCTGTCTCTCCTCCCACATGGCTTTCTTCCTGGGCTCTGAGCCTCAGAAGGAAATCACCCTGGGCAGCCACGCAGCCTCCTGGGTCCCCGTTTTGTCCACTGTGTTTACTTATTTTTGTTTGTACACTAGGCAAGTGGGTTCTGTCCCCCGAGAGCTATGGAGGAAGGTATTGGTGCATGGGGGGGGTGGAACCCCAGGCTTCACGCTTGGCCTGGGAAGCAATTGCTTTATCATTCTGCTACCCCCACCCCCGGGCCTTTTAAAAAAATTTTGAGATCTGTTCTCACTAAATCACTAAACTGTCAGCTCGGCCTGGGATTGCAAGCACGTGCCACTTCCCTGGCTATCCCAGCCTTTTTTACGTTTTGAGACAGGGTCTCCCTAAATGGACCAGATTGGCCTTGAAATTGCATCCTCCTGCCTCAGCTTCCCAGATGGCTGGGATTTGCCCAAAGTGAGCATTCTTTTCTTTTCTTTCTTTCTTTCTTTCTTTGTGTGTGTGTGGTACTGGAGATTGAACTCAGGACCTTGGGCTTGCCAGGCAGGCATGGTACCACATCCCTGGCCGCATGGTGATCACTCTTAAGGGACATGATGAAAGGTTATCAGTCTCAGAAAGCTACCTTGATCCTATGGCCACTGGCTACCTGGAAGGCACTCGCATTAAAGTACCCACACCCAGTTGCCCAGTTCTTTAAAAAAAAAAATCCCTTCTACACTGGCAGATTTGATATGGTAACTAATGGCTGCAATGTGGTCCAATGTTCTCCCCCTCCCTTGTTATACTCCATCTTTTTAATCTTTTTTTTTTTTGTACGGCGGGGGGGGATTGAACTCGGGTCCTTGCGCTTGCAAGGCAGGCCACTGAACGGCTGAGGTAAATCCCTGGCCCTAAAGTTACTATTAAATCCCTCCTCTTTACTGCTTGTCTTTAGTTAGGACCAATTACTGTCAAAATCTTTTTAAAATATGAAAAAGTTTTAATCCCTCAAATTCTTCGATTTTAAAAAAAGTCTGTTAATTTAGCTGGGTGTGGCAGCGCATGCCTGTAGTCCCAGCACTCAGGAGGCTGAGGCAGGAGGATCTTCATCGCTCTGGGCCAGACTAGGCTACATAGTGAGTTCAATCTAGCCTGAACTACACAATACCCTGTCTCCAAACTAAAAAAAAACAACAACAAAAAAACCCCAAAACAACAACAACAACAAAAACAACACACTAATTTAAAGTATGCAAAAATCCCCAGTTCTCAGGCCAGCGGCTAGGCCCCCTGAGAAGTGGGTACCTGGGAAGCACATAGTAAGTCCGGGCTCATGCAGTGAGGAGCCTGGGCTGAGTCCTTGGGGGAAATCTCCCTGCTCCGACCCCACCCCACTAACAGGTCCGGGGTGGAGCCGTCGGCCCAGCGAGTTCCCTGGACCTCTTCCAGGGGCAGGGCAGCGTCCCGCGCCCCAGGCCACCCTCTGGGCCGCGGATTCGAATCAGGCGGTCCGGGACACCGCGGGGCAGACTGAGGGCCCCG